GTGGTCAAGAAAGCCCAACAAAGACTCTACTTCCTAAGAAGACTAAAGAAGTTTGGTATGAACACCAGCATCCTCACCAACTTTTACAGGTGCACCATGGAGAGCCTGGTGACAGGCTGTATCACAGAGTGGTACATGAACTACACCAGTGATATAGGAATTATTATTTTGATGCTTTTATGTCAATCTATACCTATATTACACTTATTTAAACACACTTATACTCACTTTTGATGCAGCTTATCTGCTTATTTAGTCATTCCTGTGCTGCAGATGTGTTTTGGAGTAATTAAAGTTCTCTGGGGATGCTCTAACCAGAAGATTGGGCCCAATCTTAAGGTTACAGTGACCCAGGTTTTGAAGGACATGTTTTTCATGAAACCATCGCTCTGTTGCACAGACTGCTTTGATGAAGGAAAAACAGATTTAATTAAATCTGCCCTCCTGACAACCATCACTGCTCTCACGCGATCAGGGGGAGGTATATAAGAAATGTAGCAAACACAGGAAGTCGGAAGTCCTGTGATGGATCAGCACGCGCTGGTGCCATACGCCATTTTGATGTGATTCTTCTTTACCTGGGTCGAAAACGACTTCCCGGCCAGTGTCACGGTGAGAAGTTATTTCATATCAATTTGTGTGTTAAGAGTGTACGTGTGTACATGTTTTTTTTGCTTGGCTGTTTTCTGTGGCAGGTTAATAAAGGACACTTATTACTCCTAGCAGTAACAGCCTCTGTCTTTTATTTTTCCCTATTTGTCTGAATATCTGTGCCGACCGTTCACGAGCCCTTGATAAAGAATTTCATAATACAACCAGTCAGAGCCGGAAAGCTCTACAGAGGGTGGTGCAAACAGCAGAGGACATCACTGGTAGCAGTCTCCACATCATCCAGGACATCTACCACAGCCAATGTATGCGTAAAGCAAGCAACATCATTAAGGACCACATCCACCCAGCACAAGGACTCTTCCATCTACTGCCCTCTGGCAGACGATACAGGAGTCTGTCATCACGTACAAAAAGACTAAAGGACAGTTATTATCCACAAGCTGTCAGATAACTGAACTCTTGATAAATAACACAGAACAACTGGCAATAACTTTGCACCAAGCCACGTCTGTGACAACTAATATGACTAATATTAGCTTGTGATACCTAATATTTTTATTGCTAATGCATTATGTGGCTGTATCATGTATGTATCTACCTTACCATCATAATTCATCTCAATGTTACTACCTGTGCAATAATCTGTCACACAACCTGTGTGGTTGATGTTAGTTATGTGCAGTATACATCATGTGAATTTCAGCTTATATTACTACCTTGAAATACTTATTCATACAAATTCATCCTACTTGCACTGTTATATTCTACCATGTTGTTGTTTACTATTTTTTCTTTAGGACCTTGTAAATATTGTATTTACTTTTTCACTTTTTGGTACTTTATATTGTACCCTTATTGAATGCTTTAGTATTTCTTGTTTGTTTGTTCATTGTTTTAGTGAGTCTAATCAGTTCTTCTCATCCTGAATATTTTATTGTACAGTTAACCTTGTGTTAACCTGCATATGACAAATAAACATAACCTGAATTAAGCATTAACCTTTAATTTAACCATTAAGCATACAATGTCATTATGACAGAAAATGGATGACTTACCTGCATTTATTTTCGTAGAGATGAACATGTGGAAGCTACTTCCTGTTTGGAACTTGTGATCAGCTGATTGGGTCAGTCCCCTGCTTTTTACATGTTTTCCAAACTCCGTTTAATTTGTGAAAAAGAATAAACTGTATCCCACCCTCTAAACGCTCAGGGTAACACGTGTCTGGATTACCTGTTCTCCACTGACACCGTTTAACCATTTTGTTCTGGTGATTTTTCACAAACCCCTCAGACTGCAGCGTCCAGGCTGCAGCCTCAGGTAAAGGGCGTTTACCTTCGGGACAAATTGAGATTACCGATTGGTCATTTGCTGACACGCCTACTGGATTGATTGACAGGTCGCGCAGCGGAGCTGACTTGTGGAAAAAAAAAAAAAAAAAAAACAGAGCTGCAGCCCTGCGGAGGAGGTGGGGCGGCCCCAGGAGCAGCGGCAGAGTGTTCTGTGTTTAAATGTTAATAAAAAGTTCTAAAAAAACAAACTAAACAGGGAGGTCCGGCCCTGCAGGCCACAAATCAGACCGGCACACCGGGAATTCTCCAGACCCTCCCGATTGGCCACTCCGGGCCTGGGCAGGGTCCTTGGACGACCCAGTCCCCTCGTCAGCCTCCGCATGTGTACATTTATTATGACATCATTATGTCTGCTGTCGGGCAGCACGGTGGCGCAACTGGTAGAGCTGCTGCCTCTCAGCGAGCAGGTCCCTGGTTCAAACCCCGGTCCAGGGGCCTTTCTGGGTGGAGTTTGCATGTTCTCTCCGTGCATGCGTGGGTTTTCTCCGGGTACTCCTGTTTCCTCCCACAGACCAAAAACATGCATGTTAGGCTGATTGGTAACTCTAAATTGTCCCTAGGTGTGAGTGAGAGAGTGAACGGTTGTCTCGTTTGTCTCTATGTGTCCCTGTGATGGACTGGAGACCTGTCCAGGGTGTCCCCCGCCCCTCGCACAGTGATTGCTGGACATGGGCACCAGCGACCCCCGTGACCCAAAATGGAAACAACGGGTAAAGAAAATGGATGGATGGATGGATGGATGGATGGATGGATGGATGTCTGCTGTCAGTGCGCGAGATCTTTTTTTCCAACTCTCACATTGTGCCCCGGCAATTTTACCTCCCCTCGTGTTTTCTCTTTTCTTTACTTTTGTCTGTCTGTCTAAAACAGGTCTCACTGGTAAATGAGTCTCCGAAGCTCAATGTGAGTAATCTGTATAAATAAATGTTGAATGAAAGAATTTAGGATTAGTAGAATATTATAAACATAAAAACTAAAAATATTTTTGAGCAGTTAGGAATTTAAAATACAAATATAAACTTAATGTGAAAAACAAACAAACAAACAAAAAAAATTGTATGACTTTTTATTGTTGTCCATTGTTGTTCTCATTCTTTGTTGAAATCAGGTCTCTCTTGTGAATGAGTCCTCGAGGCTCAATGGGATTTAGTGTCTAAATGAAGGTTGAATGAATGAATGAAATTCTGTTTAGTTTATTTATATAGCATTCGTTCCACAAGAGAGGAGCCTGCTGAAAGTTCTTCCTCCCGTTCTACTTTTGGAAACACTAGGAACCACAAGTAAACCTGCAGTCTGAGAGCTAAGTGCTCTGTTAGGAAAATATGGAACAATAAGATCTGTAATATAAGATGGAGCTAGGTTGTTGAGAGCTTTGTAGGTTAGAAGTAAGATTTTGAGTTCAGTTCTGGATTTGACAGGGAGCCAATGGAGAGAAGCTAAAACTAGAGAAATATGATCTCTCCTATTAACTCCAGTTAAGACTCTGGCAGCAGCATTTTGGATCAACTGAAGACTTTTTAATGAAGTTTTTTTTTAAAGATATACAGTATACTGTATCTTTTTTTATGTAGGGGAGTGGTGGCGCAGAGCTTAGTAAAGGTGGGCCTGTGATCGGAAGGTCGTCTGTTCAGTTCCCCCCATTGACAACATCAAAATATGGGTGGGAAAGGTGAAACACCCACACCTGCCTTCACCCTCATTTGCCCCACTCTGTACCCTTGAGCAAGGCTTTTAACCCCCACCATTTGCTCCTCCGGGCACCCTAGATAGCAGCTCTCTGCTCCACACAGAGGGCTGTGGTGGCTCGGTGGTCTGTGGTTGTGTCAGGTTGTGCATTAGATGTAAAAACAATTGTCAAGTTTTCATGCAAGTTACATCACTGTGGCCACCCCTGAGCAGCTGAAAGAATAAAAACTTTAATCACACTTCTAGTCCTCCTGAATAAGGACAACCGATCTAAAATTAAATTTCATTATGATACAGGGTCTCAGAGTTTATACTCAGAATATTTTTACAAAAGTAAATTTTGCTTTTGGGGCCATTTTATTCCCAGCTTTAGATATTTAAAACACCCTTTATTGTTCACAAAAAGAGCAACAAGCAATTTTTTTTAATAATTAGAAGTGGAGGTTTTAACTTGAGAAAGTGCGTTTTAAACGTTTTTTTAATGTCCCCTTTCTAATAAAGATGTACATTTGACCTTTTTACGGAAAAGGACAAAAGCTTCATGTAAGGATAGTTTATGGCATTAAAGCTAGAGAACACATTAAAACTGCGCCACTGCGTTGTCTGTTCTGGTCCCTTTCTGATCGGCACGGGGATCAGTTGGTAGAGCTGCTGCCACTTAGCAAGAATCCTGGCCCGGGACGTTTCTGTGCATGTGTGGGTTTTCTCCGGGTACTCCAGTTTCCTCCCACAGTCCAAAAACATGCATGTTCGGCTGATTGGTAACTCTAAATTGTCCCTAGGTGTGAGTGAGAGAGTGAATGGTTGTTTGTCTCTATGTGTCCCTGTGATGGACTGGAGACCTGTCCAGGGTGTCCCCTGCCTCTCACATAGTGACTGCTGGACATGGGCACCAATGACCCCCGCAACCCGAAAAGGAAGAAGCAGGTAAAGATGACGGATGGATGGATGGATGGATGGATTACACCTGTTGGTGATTCTGTGTTTCCAGTTTTCAAATCATTCATCATTGTACAAGAACAACATAAGATTTTTGAAACTCTTGGTGTGCCACCCCAGAATTTTCCGTGGCCCCCACGTGGCCCCCTCATTAATCCACTTCTAGAGGCGCCTCTGCTGAAACTTTGGATGTTTGGGGAGTTGCTAAAGCGGCTCGTTGTGAGCGCGGCCGCTGTGTGGCTTTAAGACGGAGGAGGGCAGCCCCCTGTGACGCAGGAGTCTCTGAAAGGATGCTTCAAAACGTCCAGGCTGCAGACTCTGGCTCCACGCGCCTGCAGGGCCAGCTGAGCAGGTTCAGGACGAGTCGGAGCAGAAGGTTCTGTTAGTGGTTCTCCAACACAGCACGGCATCATGCTCACTGTAAGGCACTCGTGTGTTCTCCTCTTGATGGTCCTGCCGGTTCTGACCAACAACCTCAGCCAGGAGATAGACGTCTTGGTGTTTCTGCCACAAAACAACTCTTTCCTGTTTTCTCAAGCGCGAGTTGCTCCGGCGATCCGTTACGCGCAGGACGCGCTGAGGACGCGCTTCCCCAACTTCCACTTCTCTCTCCACTTCGAGGACTCGGACTCCGTGAACCAGGCCGTGTTCACGCTCGCGGACAGATCCTGCGGACGCAAGCCCGATCTGATCCTCGGCCCCGTGCGCGAGTACGAGGCGGCCGGGGTGGTGCGGCTGGCGTCCCACTGGGACATCCCGGTGGTGTCGGCAGGTGCCCTGGCCGTGGCCTTCAGGAACAAGGACACGGAGTACTCGCACCTGACGCGGATCGCGCCGTCCTACATGAAGATGGCAGAGATCTTCTCCGCCATGTTCGCGCGCTTCAGCTGGAGGAGCGCGCTGCTGCTCATCCAGGACGACCTGAAGGAGCGCGACTGCTACTTCACCCTGGAGGCAGTCTTCCACGTGATGGAGGACTATTCTGTCAAATCCCTCACATTTTCTGAGGAGGAGCCCCTCGGAGGGGACGAGATCGTCCGGAACATGCACGACACAGAAGGTAAAACGTGAAGTTTGTTTAATTCACTTTAAATGTGCAGTCTGTTGGATCCAGTTGAAATACAAACATTCTTTAGTCTTTATTTATTAGTTAATAACTTTATGTGATGGGGCTGCAAACTGCAGCTCTGGGGCCACATGTGGCTCTAAAGGTGCCGATTGAAAATAATGTTTAAATTTAGAACCATAATTGAAAAAATAATAGAAATATGTGGCAAGTCATCCTCATAAGACCAAGAATTAAAACTATTGGCTTTCATAAAGACTTTAAATAAAATGTGACATGAAGGATCCTGCCTGAAGAAGAAAAGGCACAAAAAAATGACCTAATCTTTATCTTCACTCTGACCAAAGTGCTGATCGTTTTTATATTTTCACAAATATAGAAAAGACTGCGAGACACGGTGGCTCAGCTGTTTGAGCTGTTCCCTCTCTGTGAGAAGGTCACTGGATCGAATCCGGCTGGGGGACTTTCTGGGTTGAGTTCGCATGTTCTCTCATGCATGTGTGGGTTTTCTCCCGATACTCCAGTTTCCTCCCACAGATTTGATTTGATGATAATTTTATTTCAGACAGACATTTCACCAACAAAACATAATAATAAAGACTTTCATGTTTCTAAGTGTAAATACAATATCTTACTATCAAATATACATACTCAATTTGCATATACTCAAATACATATAAATACTCCACTTTTTTGGTGACTGTGAGTCTGAAAAGGAGTATGATGAAGTTTAACTTATATAATCATACCCCTTTTCCATTCATTAATTCATAGCATAAATAGTCTTCCTGTTGCCAGATCAAAAACTGTTAGGCTGATTGGTCACTCTAATTCATCTCTATGTGTGAGTGAAAGAATGAATGGTTGTTTGTCTTCATGTGTCCCTGTGATGGACTGGAGGATGTCCCCCACCTCTCACGTGATGGACATGGACACCAGTGACCTCTGTGACCGGCAGGTTTCAGTGTTGAGATCACAGATGACCTGTGGATCTGGGGCCACATGTGACTTTTTGCAACTTTGATCCAAAAATAAGATGAAAACAAATGTTTGTGTTTGTGACACATCGCATCAAACTGAGTTGGATTTGGTCCAAATGAACATTTTCACACTCTCTGCTTTGTAACAAATTTTTAGATCATTCTGACGTTGTGGGCTGATGCAGACATTTGGATTGATTTTTCTCTGAAAATTGGTTTGAATTACCCCCCCCCCCCCCCCCCACACACACACACACACACTATTTTATGTTTTTCTTGACGTCATTTGAAAGAAAGAAATCTCCAACCATTTTTGAATATTGAGATTTCCAAACAAAGTCTTTAATTTTTGATGTAGCACAGGGAAACTTGAAAAAAATGTAAGATTTTTCTGCTCCAAATTATTGTTAATTGTTGATACTGCTCAGAAAAGTTTTGAAAACACTCGTTAGGATTATAGTTTGGACATTTTAGTCAAGGGACCCGATAACGATTCATATTTTGACAAAGTGCAAATATTCTAAATTTTTCAAAAGTTTTCTGCAAAATGTGAGCATAATTTTTGAAACAAATCCATCAGGACAAGAATCAAGCCGAGCTATGTCTCTAATCACACAAGTTCTTCTCACATTTATAAATAAATGAGCAGGAAGCAGAGCTTCATCACATCTGTTTCCACAGAGAGGATGCACAGAAGCTCCATAAATCAGTTCACTTTATTAACGAGTAAAACACACAAAAAAACTTTGATCTTTGTATGTGAGAGCCGGTGTGGAAGGACGTGACATCACATATCATCAATTTGCAAAAACATAAAGAAAAAGAAGAAAAACTAAAAAGAAAAAAACTGGTCCAACTTTTTCCTTCACGATGCAGGCAGCGCTTTCTTTGTGACCCATAAGGCTCCATGTTCTTGTCTCTGATGGGCCCATCACACCAAGAACTGACAACATTTGCAAACACACAGAAATCTGTTTTAATATTCATAACAACTTCTCAATGTGTCACTTTGGACTTTTTGACTTCAGCTTGTGTTTAACGGCCAAACTTTCTTCTCAGGTTTAACACAATTCAGTTTCTCACTGTTTGGGTTTTTATGAGAAAAAAAATCATCAGCAACAATAACACCAACAAACAATGAAATGTTTTGTTAATGATCAAAGCTCATGCTCAGTAATCAGGTAAAAAAATCCAACAATGTTC